AATTAATTTTATAATTTTATTTATTTATTATTTTTATATGAATTTATAAGTTATACAAAAATAGGATATCCCAGATATTTTTTACTTCAATTATTATACATCCTTTTTCTACTCTTTACAGGACTTTGCTCTGCATCAGGGCATTGTGGCCGAATCATTTGAGACCTCTGTGCCCTGGGATCGCTGCAGTTTGCTGTGTCGCTGTGTGAAGCAGCGCGTTGTTTCGGTTAGTAGAAAACAATTCACAATTTCCCCTTTCCATCTATGTACTCTATTCAAATTCTCAATTTGTTTGCAGGAGTGTGCCAGGCATAACATTTTGCACTACACGATCTCGGCGCGAGTGACGCAGACATACGATGCGGGTGCGTGCATATACTTCTACTTTGGATTCCGCTACCTGAACATACCCGATCCGGTGGAGGTATTCGAGGCCATCGAGCACTGTGCACGCGAGGAGATCTTGGCCTGCGGCGGCTCCCTGTCGCATCATCATGGTGTGGGCAAAATACGTAGCCACTGGTATCGCAATGCGGTGACCGAGACGGGCAGCGCGCTCTACAGTGCCGCCAAACAGCATCTGGATCCACGAAACATTTTCGCGGCAGGGAATCTGCTGCCAGCGCAGGAAAAGTTGAAGAAGCCTGCAGCAACAACAACAACTCCTACGGCAGCAACAGCTGCTCTGAAAGCCAAACTTTAGAGTATATTTCTAGATATCTATATATAGATACATATATAGAAATACTAGTCAAAATCTCATAACAAATACCTTCGAAACATTTCTAGCTGCTTCAAACCATTCGCATTTGGTTTGCAATTTAAGTCGGGCTCACTTTTGTATGGGTGTTACAATTTTGATAAATAAATGGAATATTTGTATAACGAAATATCGCTGCTTTGGCACTCACTATCCCCATGCGTCCGGGTCTAGCCTTGACAGTCCACAGATAACTAGAGTTCGCATTGGTCCTTGCTCCCTCTGCTGCTGCCGGTGGTCTCCGCCTTGGCCTCTTGTCTGCCGCCAAACCACAAAGAGCAACAAACTCTACCGGAGACCCGTCTGCGAAGCCGGTGTCAGTGTCGCGGCATGTGCGTTAGCCTTGAGGTAGTGGCTAATGACTATCTGGAGGTTGTATAGGGCACTTGAAGCTTATGGAGCTTCTAAGAAGCTGAGAGGCCTGCCGAACGACAGAGAAAATGCCCAATTGTGGTATGTAAAATACATTATAAATGTAAATCATATATGAATTTTAAAGTTATTGCACAGGAATTATATATGCAAAAAAAAAAAAATTTATTTATTTATTTTTTATTTCTATTTATATCTATTTAAATATAGGTATTATTTTAACAAATATTAGATGATGTA